GGTAAGCAGCAGAGAAAGAGCTTCCCCAAGATCTGGTGTCCAGACACTGGAATATAGCAAAGTGAGGAAGAGAAGAAGGAGGGAAGTGGGCTCTAACCTGTTGTTCTTCCTGGCATACCAAGACTGAGACTGCCTAAGGGTCATAAACAATACTAATGTCAGTGCCAAACAACCAGGAGCTGGGCCAAGTAGGCAGCAACTTCTCATCGCCAATAAACAGAAGAGGTAGGATCCTGCAACAGACTCAAAGCCCAAAAGCCAGCTATACCTGGACGACATCTATGAAAAATAGTTTCCTAAGGGTTCTACATACTAGCAATAAAGCTCCTTGCCATAAGCAATTTATAAGCGGCAACCTAAGAATTAAACAAACAACAGAAAACGAGAAAGACACTTAAATAAGATGCAACCACAGACTTCCAGCTCACCAAAGGCAAACTCAAGAAGCAATGAGGTGGAACACCTTGAAACCTGGACTCTCTGAAGTGGTAACAGTGGAAGTAACAAAAGCAAATGAACTAGGCTCTAAAAAAAAAAAACCAAATTAGAAATACTTTATCAGATAACTACAGAGATGGTGACCATAGAGAAAGACACGCTTAGTGACTCTACAGGAGATACAGATTAAAAAATACAGAAGAAGAAAATGATGGAAACATGAATACCCGACTTAGGAAAGAAATGGAATCCATGAAAGAGATTCAAACAGATATCCAGGAGGTTAAAAATTCCACTGAGAGTATATGCAGCAGAATGAGCCAATGGGAGGACAAACAGAATTTCAGATATAGAAGATAGAATTGTGGTTAGTGATCACGAAAAGAAAGATTTCTTTTAAAAAAGCAAGAGACCATGAGAAATCAACCAGCAGCTGCTACATGATGCAAAGAAGAGTAACACAAGATTGATAGAGCCAACGAAAAAGCAGCAGACAGTGCAAATGACATAAAAAAAAAACCTATTCACAGAAGTAATGGCACAAAACTTCCCAAGCAGGGAAAACGAATTTGACATAAGGTAAGTGAGGCATTTACAACTCCAATTAGCCATAATCAAAAGAAATATACACCAAAGAATATAATAGTAAAGATTCCAGAAATTCAACAAAAGAACAGAGTATTAAAAGCTGTTAGAGAAAAGAAACAAATCACCTACAAAGGAAAGCCCATCCAAATCACTGCATACTTCTTAACACAAATCCTCAAGTTAAGGAGAGCTTGGAGTGAAGTATTTCAAGCCCTAAAGGAAAATGACCTCCAACCCATATTTATGTATCCTGCAAAACTATCTTTCAAAACTGATGGGCAAATAAGAGATTTTCATGGTCAAGAATACGTGAAGAAATTCATGACATGAAACCAGGTCTCCAAAATGTTCTGAAGGACATTCTAGAGAGAGGTACAAGGACTATAATTCCATGAGCCCCAACAGAATGAATCCACCACTCAAGGCAAGCAATTAAACAGAGAGGGGAAAAAAGAGACCGACAACAAGAAAATAACATGACAAGGTAAGTCAGTACGTATCAGTTACAACCATCAATGTTAATGGCCTCAATTCACCAATCAGAATAACAGACTGGCAGAAGGGATCAAGAAGCAAGATCCAACAACACACTGCATACAAGAAACACACTTAATTCAAAAAGAAATTCACAGATTGAAAGTCAAAGGATGGAAAATAATACTCCATGCAACAGAAACTCAAAAAAAGCAGGGGTAGCTATTCTATTTACAGACAAAGTGAACTTTAAGCCAACACTGATTAAGAGAGACAAAGAAGGCCATAACAATCTTGTAAAGGGAACAATATAAGAGGAAGAGGTAATGATCATAAATGCTTACATAATATTGACAACTTACATAAATATTAACAGACATAAAAAATGAAGCAAGCACTACTACAATTGTAACACAGGACCTCAATACCCCATTGTCACAGATAGATCAACTATACAAAAAAAAAATAAGTCAACAAAGAAATATCTGAAATGAACCATATTTTTGAATGAACAGACTTAGTAGATGTCTAGAGAGTTCTACCCCACAAATCAGAATACACATTTTTCTCAGCTACACATGTGATGTTCTCCAAAACAAACCACATACTTAGCTCATACAACATGCTTAAGTAAATGCAAAGAAAGTCAAATTACCCCACACATATTAACAGACCACACTGCAATGAAACTGTAAATAAAGATACCACAACTTCATAAACACATGGAAATTAAATAGTGCCCTCCCAAATAAGCAATGGGTCACAGATGAAATTAAAGAAATTAGACAGTTTCTACAATTAAATGATAATGCTAATATGCCAGAACTTGTGGGATACAATGAAAGCAGTCTTACCAGGGAAATTTATAGCAGGAAATTCCCATATCAGAAAAAGCGAACAAGCACAAATAAACAACTTAATGGTGAATCTCAAGCTTTTAGAAAAAGAAGAGAAAATCAAGCCAAAAGCTTGAACAAGAGAAGAAAATTATAAAGATCAAAGCAGAAATTAATGCAATGGAGACTAAAAAAAAATACGAAGAATCAATGAATCAAAGAGTTGGTTCTTTGAAAGATTAAATAAAACTTGACCCAACCTTATCAAAAAAAGGAAAAGAAAGACTCAGATCCTCGGAATTAGGAATGAAAAGGGTAAAATTCCAACAGTTCCTCCAGAAATTCAGAAAATTATCAACACATACTTTGAGAACCTGTATTCTAATAAGAGGAAAACAAAGAATACATGGACAGATTTCTATATATATATAAATTACCAAAAATGAATCAAGAATATATAAAGATTCTAAATAAACCAGTATCAGTCAGTGAAATTGAAGATATAATTAAAAACCTAGCAACAAAGAAAGGTCCAGGCCCTGATGGATTCACTGCTAAATTCTATGAGAAATTTAGAGAAGATTCATGGTGCTACTTCTCAAACTCTAATGAAACTGAAAGGGAAGCAATACTCCCAAAATGATTCCTGGAAGCAACACCAACACCAGAGAAGATCCAACCAAAGAAGAGAACTGTAGGCCAATCTCCCTAATGAACACAGACACAAAAGTCCTCAATCAGACACTGGGAAACAGAATGCAGCAAATCATCAAGAAGATTAGCTTGTAATCACAGCACTCTAGAGGCTGAGACAGAAGGATCCCACTGAGTTCAAGGCCAGCCTGGACTACATAGTGAGTTCAAGACTAGCCTGAACTACACAGTGAAATCCTGTCTCAAAAAAAATCCAAAGGATTATAAGGATCAAAATGAAATGTGAAAAAAAAAAAAAACAAAAAAAAAAAACAAAATGAAATGTGAGCAGGAAGTAGTCTGGCCCATTACATTATTAAAATTCTTTTTATTAATGTTTTAATTTTCTAATAAAGAAAACATATTTAAAATAATAGCAAACATTCCCATAAACTAAAATTAGAAAGTTAACAATTGCTACAAAAAGAAAGGTCAGAAAAAGCCTTCTTTCTTAGCCTCTGAAGCTATTCTGAGTCCCTTTTCCCCCCACATAACAGAATTCTAACCTCTATAGAAGTGCATGGTTTCAGCCATTACTAAACCACATAGCTTAAAAAAAAGTCATGTTCATGTTTTTTACCCAGAATTATAATAACTAAAACGCAATAGTTTTAAGAGCTCTACCTTTAACTTAGATTTTGATTGAGCTTCAAAATCCTAAAAAGCTATCATCATAGAAGATTCTACAATTTAAAAAATCATTTTTAAATAATAATGACACAATAAAATACTCATAAAATATAGTTGTGATTAGAAACAACATAGCAATGCTGTTAAAATTCACTGAGCACTTACTCTATGTCAGAAATTGTGCTCAGAAATACATGCCTCATCTTACTGAATCTTACATTTTACAGGTGAAGAAAGTAAGCAAGGATTATCTTTCTCAACACCCAAAGTTATAGAGCAGAGAGAAAGTAACCTGGAATTTCAATGTTTCAAATCATCCATTCATGCATCCAAGAACCAGGTGAGAGTGGCTCTCAGGTGCGTAGGCTCTCATCTGGATAGTAAAATGGTTACTACAAAACCTGGACCCCAAACGCTTTACATGCTTTACAGATTTGATTTTTCACAATGAATAAAGATAGGGAAGTATTTCCTACTTAACCCTGAACTGAGATTTGGGGTGTCCAGACAACGCTATAGGAACATGCCGTGTATGGGTTTGGGTGAACAATGTTGGATGAGAAAGACATCAAGTTGTCTGGGTCAGTATTGGTCCTCAGACTCCTCGAGTATCTCCTGTAGAGATATGCTACAGGAAAGACTTCAACTATTTTCATGAAGCCAACCGAGGTATATACACGTGACACAAAACAACAAAAGTTAATGTCTCTACTCTTGAATGGAACACAACTTGAGCTGAACATGAAAAGACAAGAAATGCAGCACTACTCTGGCAGCTCCTGATTTTGTAACCTGGACGTCAGAAGACACACCCTGGGCAAGAACAGCAGCAAGAGTTAAAAGTAAGAGACCCTCCAGGTACCATTATGAACACAGCACATCAACCTGGTAGGAACTGAGAAGACAGGTGTCACCTTGAACACAATCCTCCTGACCCGGTCTCCCACGTGGTGGGGTTATGGGTGTTATACCACCCACCACATCTAGGCAGAACTTGATTTTCTAAAAATGATGAAAGTAATGAAGGCCATAAAAATTAAGACTAAGATGCTCTTCTAGCCAGTCTTTAGAAATTCTTTTCTCAGGCAATATAGAAAAGTTCAAAAGTATCTTTAAACACAACCTTAAGGCTTGTTAGTTTTAAGTTTCCTTTTAAGCAAAAAAATAAAATAAAATCTGAGTCTAACCCCAAATTTACTTAAAATATAAGTATCTCAAAATAAAAATGAGTTTTGTACACCTACAAAGACTTAGCTTCTTAACAGTGTTTATGAAAAGCATTTTACTGGCAAAAGAGACTTTAAGTTCAGTCACACATTTCAAATGTGCAGTCGCACTTACCTGGAGATTTGATGTCCAGCATAGAGGAGCAGGGCAGTCAAAAAATATAAATAAAGCTGAACCAGATGCTGCCTGGGCAAGGTGAGTAACACAACACTTAAGATATAACCTGCAGTAGAAATTAAGAGATATAAACAAAATATAATTCTAACTCAGCCTCCCAATTAATTATATCAGAAAGAGCTTGAAATAGGTTATTTTCCACTTAAGGCTTCAACTTCTGAGGTTTTTTTATATCACTATCCAAGTTCATGGAGCACAGTAATATAATTGTGAATTTTTTTGTTGTTAAAGAATGTTTTAGCATTTGACACTTTCTGTGTAATTTTCTGACTCTGTACTCAAACAGACGCAAAGGTATAACGACTCCTCTTATCATCTACCTTTGCTCAACAACGTCTTGTTTTATGCCAATTCTCTCTCTCTCTCTCTCTCTCTCTCTCTCTCTCTCTCTCTCTTCCTAGTGGCAGAGGAAGAACTGGATCTCTCCATGGCTGCCTGTTCCATTTGATTTCAAGATCTTGTTTCTCTAACTTCAGAACTTCCTCTCTCCTACATCTTCAAATCATTCCAGCTGACACCAGTTCTTTTGTTTCACAGAAAGTGCAGGGCTCTTCCTCATCTTGGAAAAAGCAGATACTTCTCTTCAGTGATTTCTTCTAATTCTTTTCATTCCACTGACAAATGTTTCAAATTATCTGTACCCAATACCTCTATTTTGTAACTATCTGTTTCCTTCATTTCCCATAATCTACAACCCCTCTTTCCTCTTCTATTCTAAGGAAATTTGGAAGTCAAAAACAGTCTACTTGTCAAATGTAACACATCCTGCTTACCCTTGCTGTGAAGGTTTGTACGTAAATGTACTCCAAAGCTACCAGAGAGGGTGTATCTTCTCCCCTGGATCCTCGCTCAGCACTCTGCTTCTCACCTACTATGAGGTGACAGCTTTCCTCCACCCAGACCTTTCCACAACGCTGCTCACTATGCAAGACTGAAACTTCTACAATGTGAGCCACAAGAAACCTCTCCTCTAGGTTGCAGGGTTTGGTCTTTTGTCCTTGTGGTGAGGAAACTGACTAAGCATACTCAGCCTTACCAGCTGAGGCAAAGCCCCTCAAAACTCCATGATTCTTTGGCTCTGTGACAGATTTCCTCTTCTAATGCTTCCTCCACCATCTTTTCACTTTTGCTGAAGAACAAAGAAATTTGGTCCCTAAACAACTGCTTTTCTCTCTATAAAGAATCTGACACGAAGAATTTATTTTATTGCTTTGAATATTGGTATCATCCCATATATCTGTTACGAATAGTTATAAAGCTCCTACAACAATCACCAAACACATCCTCATTTCTAAGTGGGCCTTCTGTACCTCACGATGCCCAGAGCCAATGTTCTCATATTGAACAAGTTCAAATGCTCCATTCTTTCTCTCTTAACAAGGTAGCTCAGCCTCTTTCACTCTCCAAAATTCTTTTCACTCTTACTCAAAACCTGAGTTTTCAGTAAGTCTCACTATTCACTCTGTGGCGTTATCCAAAATAAAGTTGACAGTGATGAAATTAGCCTAATATAATTTATAATGAAGGCCAAAAAAATTACTAACATAGACTTGCTTAAAACAACATTGGTGGATCTATTAATTTTTACTACTTAAATATGTGACAGTACTAGAGGAAAATGGGGGCCTGGATTAAAATAGCATCTTTAGGTATGGAGCTGGCAGAGTCAGCTACAAGCTAACTGTATATTCAAATATATTTTACCCTCACTCACTGGATGAGTGGATGAGAATAAGGAAGTGAAAGTGGTTCTGATCTTTCTAGTCTGGGTAATCAAGAAGACCGCTTTGCCATTAATACAGGAAATAAAAGAGGAGGAATAGGTCTGAGGTGAAGTACAGGTGCTAAGTTCAGTGACTTAAAAAAAAATATTCAGAAAAGATGGTCCGAATTAGGAAAAGAACGAGAGAAATGACACTTTGCAGAAAGGTCTAACATGTGGCTAGGAATTTGTTCATTATGGATCCGATACTAGCTAGGTGCTGGGAATATTGAGATAACAGACAACCTTTTTCTAAATTTAAAGCTCACAATCTAGCTGGGCAAACAGGTTAAGTACACAGACCCTCAATGCAGCCTCGTAAGAATCATGATGGTGTGAACTGGGAACTATGGGTCACAGAGGAAGAACTCAAACCTCAGACTAAGGTGGTAAAAAAGCAACAGAAAGTAAAGGTAGAGATTTGTAGCCAAAACTATGTGACATCTACCTAACAATGAAAGATGAAAACTGAACAAAAATTCTAGGTAATACCAATACTTAAGTCTAAAGGGAAAAAAAAGATTCAGAAAAAATGGTCAGAATTAGGAAAAGAATGAGAGAAATGACACTTTCAAGAAAGGAAGTCAATGGCTTCATAAACATAAAAAAGCCTGCAGACTGAGGACACAAATGAGGCTTCAATTTTACTAGGTCACTAATGACTTCAAAATCTTTATACCCAAGGCAATAAAAAGAAGGTATCTACAAATGAACCTAACAAACGTCTAAAAACTATGCGAAGAAAACTTTAAAACACTGCAAAAAAAAAAAAAAAAAAAAAAAAACACTGCAGAAGTATACAAGACAAACCTTGAACAAAGACTTTCTGTGTTCTTACACAGAGAAGACCATTATTAAGCTATCACTTTGCCCTAACTTAAAATGTTAATAATGCAATCTCAATAAAATGGTTAATAGGTTTTTTGAGGACTAAACTAGGTAATTTTATTTTTTTGCTTTAAACAATTTATTTAACTGAAATGGACTTTCATTTATTTAACTGAAGTGACTTCCATTTATTTTGCTACATCTTTTCCCCATGGTGATTTACAGGATCTTCAAGCCAATAAAAATATTTCATAAGTTTCTGGTCATCTAGGTAGACACGTACACAATACTTCAGCAATATCTTTCTGAAAGAAAAACACTGAAGAGTAAAGACCTGACGCAATTAATTAAGTACGATAAACATCTGCTCCAAATATTTGGCACTACACACCTATTCAATTAAGAAAACCATCCCTACAACACAGGATGATTTTTTATGTTTAAGTAGGGCCTAGAACACTTAGCGGCAATTAGGTACTGAATGACAGAGCTACATCCCCAGCTTATGCTATGAGTTCATAGAGAATAGGTTCCAATAACTCAGGCTCCTTCCCATTGGTTCTCACGAAGGGTGCTTCTCTGGGGCAGTGGGGGTGCTGCAGGTTGGCGCTTCAGTTCAACCCAGGTACCTTTCTCTTTGGCTTCTTTCTTTTTCTGATCATTTTCCTTGACATGTTTCAGGAACATGTCAACTCAACTCTTTGAGTGTTTAATATGTTCAATACACACATTAATCCTCTTGTCAAGTGTCTTGCCCTTAACTTGCTTATTTACAACAATGCCAACAGCACGCGGTGTAACACTGTAGACTCTTCCTGTTTTGCCATGGTAACATTTGTGTGGCATTTCTTTTTGTACAGTACCCAATCCTTTGATGTCTACAATATCACCCTTTTTGTAGATTCACATATGCGTGGTGAAAGGAACAACCCCATGTTCTCTAAAAGGCCTACAGAACATGTACTGGGTTCCACTCTTCCTTTCCTTTGTGTTCATCATCTTGGCAAATTATTGGAAGATGGTAGTTCCAGCCGACAGGAAAAGGGGAAAATTAGGTAGTTAAGTTCTACAGAAAACTAACAATAAAAACACTGAAGCAGAAATAAGGAAAATGAGGGGTCTTTCAGCTAATAAAATATGATCTAAGTCTTCAATAAATGAAACACAGTGCTAACAGTCCACAAAAGTGGGCAGATAGACAAAAAGACCACAAAAAAATATTCAGAATAGAGGAAAATATCTTAGGTGGAGACTTCTGAATAGTTACCTAGAAAAAATAAAATAGCTGTAATCCACTGTACATGCAGATAAATTCTAAATGGAACATAGATGTAAGCATGAAAAATGAAACCATAAAAGAAATAGAAAATTTAGAATGTATTTAGGGAGCATTATATACTTTGCCAGGTTACTCCAAACAACAAACTGTTCAAGCTGAAAATATCCCTTCTAAGGGATAAATAATCTAAATATAAATAATTATATTTATTTAAGGGATAAATAATAAATAATAAATAAATAATAAATAAATAAAAGGGATAAATAATCTAAAATATACCTTAACTAAGTCTTCTCTACCACAGGATGGAATACGTGTACTTAAGGAGACTCCGTTGAATTCCCAAAGTTTTAAGCCAGAGTATGAATTTCAACTGTACCAGGGTCTAGTCAACTTTTAAAATTAATGTTTTTGGCTATTAGGCAGATGTTTTTATAATAAATATTTTAATCTTTTCATAAATAATACATGATAAGCACATTTTTAAAACCACAGTGTGTATTACTTTGCTGATTAAGCTTAAAATCCAAGCCAAGTACCCACTTGTTCTGTAACTGGCTGGAATTACTTTCCATAACTTGGCTAACATACAAAACCTTTAATGAAGGGCCAACAATTACAGGGTTTGCACCATCAAAGTATCTTATTTCACACACTTTCCTGAGGTAGTGCCATTGACACAGGGTAAGCTCTGTTTCTAGTACACTGTCTTTTCTATTATACCACTCCTCCCATAGCAGCCCACTTGGTTATCTCTTAGAGGCATGAGGATTTTCAGGGTTAGGTTGTAGAACTCAGAAAGTCCTACAGATAAAAATAAATCTCAGAAGAATAACCTTTCACAATTTTATAGAAGATACACATTGTGATGAACAAGTTCTAATAACAAAAATATCAACATAAAAGCACTATAATACCATAATACCATGTCCAGAGTTAGACAGCAACAATGTTAATAAAAATGTCATATTACCTGTAAACTAAATATTCATTGAAATTACGGATAATTTTATTCTATCTTTTTTTTTTTCCAGTACCAGGAATCAAACTCATGACCTTGCATTTGCCAGGCTGGTGCTGTGCCACTGAGCTAAATCCCCAGCCCCTAAGGATACTTTCATTCTAGATGAACTTTATCTGCTCCATGCCTGTATTTCTTGACTTTAACTTCTTTAATCTTTCATCATTACTTTTATCACATCCCTCAAAGTACACCAATTACAATGCCAGGAGTGTTTTTCTAAGGAAGAAAATATACTTCAGAACAACTGCCTACATTTCATATTTTAGTTTGTCTGGACTGGGGCTATAGCTCAGCGGTAGAGTGCTTACCTAGCATACATAAGACTTTGAGTTCAATCCCCAGTACCAAAAAAAGAAAAGAAAAAGTTAGTTTATATCAGGAAACAGTAACGAATATCGAACTTTAAAGAAATCTTACTTTTTCCCACTTCCAAACTTTAAGGACAAATTAGAAGAAACCAAATGCCTGCAAATATACTTCTCAGTATTCACGTTTCACCACATTAAAAGCTAACATTTTTTTTTCTGCATTCCGGTTATATCTAATAAAATACTGCCTGCTTTCCTCTAGCCTTAATAATTCATATGCGATGGTAAGACAAATAAACAAGAGGCATATACATTCATTAATGACTATCAGTCACCTCAGTGTAAGTGAAACTCGTTTTACCCAAAATCAGAAATACCTAAAGGCATAAATCATAATGTTCACAATAAGGTTAGAAAATGTGATGTAGATACTTACCTACATAATGCATATTAAGGGCCAAATACTTATACTGGAAAAGAGGGTTGTTATTGAGGCTACTTCTTTGGATCTGCTGGAAAAAGGAGCTGACATCCCATCTGTACAGGACATCCAACAGCATGATGCTGGGCACCCTCAGAGCCACATTTAACACCGCCTCGAGTTTCTCCTTTGCAGCCATCTTTTCCCTTTGTTTTTTTTTGTTGTTGGTTTTTTGTTGTGGAGTAGACCTAAAATTCAGAAAACATAGTATGTAAAAAAAGAAATCAAACTTCTTCTAGATATCTGCTTGTGTATCTAATGCACTGCCATATGCCACACAAATTCTCAAACTCCTCAGCCGCATCTATTTTTAGGTATTTATGAAATAAGCCTTGCACTGTGTTTCTGCATTGACACTTTCAGGTCTGCACATATTTATGATTCTGATTAAATGATCAGGCCACAAAACTTACTTTTTAAAATGCCACTAACTCCTGACAGGTACTTATTAACAACAGTCCCTGTAAGAATACTTTTAACTTTTGTCCAAATTTGAAAAAAAATTCAACTATATATAATTGAGATTTACATGGCCTCTAAAGAGAGTAAATCTTAAGTATTTGCTAAATTAAAGTCATTCAAAACAAGTTTTACAAATCCATGTTTAGCTTGTGGTATCTTATACTCTAGTCTTCTTATTCACTTACAATCAAAGCTGAAATCTTGTATTTACAATCTAGACAACTTAGAATGAAAATACAGGCAGAAGGAACATTTACAATATTGTTTCCTTAAATTACTACACTCTTAGATCTAAAATTCTCACAATCTAGCTAGGCATACCAGCTACTAGAGACTAAGGCAAGAGTATCAAAAGGCCAAGGCTACCCTGGCCCTTAAGAGCCTATCTCAAAATATAATTTAAAAATTTAAAAAGGTTTGGAAATGTAGCTCAGTAGTAGAGTGCTTGCCTAGCATGTACAAGGCTCTGGGTTCAATCCTCAGTACCTCTGACTGCCCCTGAAAACAAGAAAAACTCCCAAAATATCTCTTCACAATGGGAAAATAATACTGATCAAATTTAGCCCTTGGTATACACACACACAGGCACACGTAAGTCAGGCACCGAATCTGCAAGGTCTTTCCTTAGATGCTGATAAGTATTAGGAGAAAGAAAGAAAAAGAAAAAAACAGCAGGTATCAGGATCTTGAAAGGACAATTCAATGTAATACCATTTTACATGGCAGAGTTGTAGATTAATCCAAAGAATTTTAAGAGTGACATGAGCTTCCACAAACAAAAGTAAGGAAAGGACAATTTAAGAGTAAAGATAATTCTGGTTTGTTGGCTTTTACAATATCCTTTTAAGAATTCTGCTGAGAAAGCTAAACTCATTTCCAGCTCTGGCAGTAATTTTAGACATTACAGGATAAATGAAAACATTTATTTCTGAAGAAAATTACAGTGACAGATTGCTATGCTATGGTTAAATATTTGCCAGCATTTTCCATCTTACCCTCCAATTTTCATAACTCCCTAGGTCAGGCAGTTAAAAGTCAAAAACAGCTCAACTCAGCACACCATTAATATGAGCCTTTATATGATCATGTATCAATAATTTCTATAACCCAAATGCTGTTAGATGTATTATACAAATACTACCAATAATATATAATTAATATTTTATGGATAAAATCTAATTCTGATTACATAGAGTGAACAAGGCCCAAGACCTCTGAATAATTTTCCCACACAAGAAACCAATATTATGATTTTCAAAACCGAATATCCCTGACCTGAGGCGGGGCGGGGGGGGGGGGGGAAGCACTGAAAAATAAAATCTCTAATCAACATTTACTGCAAACTACACCATTCAGGAAACTGAACTAATTTCTATAAACGCTTGAGATTAGTCAATCCTCCACAGCTACCAATTTTGTTCATGGATTGAACCAACTTCAGCTCAAAAATATTGGGAAAAAGAAATTATGTCTGTAGTGAACATGTACAGACCTTCCTTTTTACATTATTCCCTCAACAATTCAGCATACTATTTATACAGCACTTACACTGCATTAGGTATTATAAATAGTCTAGAGATGATGTAAAATATACAGGAGATGTGCAGAGGTTATATGCCACCTATGTAAGGACATGAGCTTCCACAGATTTTGGTATCTAAGGCAACTTCTAGGACCAAAACCCTGAGGGTAACAGAACAACTGTACTTTTAAAAGAAAAAAGCATCTTGGGGAAAAATACACTAAAATAATACCAGGAATATCCTTTTACACAGAAGGTCTAGAGATGATTTCTTTTTCTTTTATTTATTTTTATTTTAAAGAGGAAAAAAATGAGAATAACAATAAAACAGAATTTCAAGACAGACTAGTTGGAGAGTTACATTAATACAATGCATAATGTCTCCGTAGTAGTTATTCAGATTACAAGATGTAAGCATTATATCTTGTCCAAACAATATTAGCACAAACCTTTCTTTTTAATGAACTAAGATGAACTAGCTGTATATTTATCTTAAATATCTTGTATATAAATACATTTTTTCTTTTCCCCTTCCTTCTTTTCCTCTTTCCCTTGTCAGTTTGTCTTTTCTTTTAAACCATTTCTTCCCAATTCACTGTATCTACTGTACATTTTGCACTTTACTCATTCAGCTTCCCACACTAAGCAGACAATACAATGTTTACACATATGCATCTGTTTCCATAGTACAGTGGTTACCATGTTTCCCTCACACGTGTGCATTTAGTTTATTTCACTTTTGAGTATGGTCTTGAGTTGCATCCATTTACCTATAAAAGTCTCCAGTTTATCCTTCTTTATGGCGTAGTACTCCATTACATTAAAAAAATCTTTTTTATCTATTCATCAGTTGATTCCAAGATTTAACTATTACAAATTGTGCTGCTATAAACATGGATGGACATATATCGCTGTGGTATAATGCCTTTAACTCTTTCAGGAAGATACCAAGAAGGGGATCAGCTGAGTCAAATGAAACCTCTAGTTTTAGTTTTCTGAGGAATCTCCACCCTGATTTCCACAGTGGTTGCACCAGTCTACACTCCCACCAACAGTGGAAAAGGGTTCCTTTTTCTCTACAACCCTGCTAGCATTTGTTAATAGGTTGATTTTTTGATGACAGTCATTCTTTCTGGGGTGACACAGAATCTCAGTGTTGTTTTAATTTGCATCTCACAAATGACCAATAATGTTAAACAATTTTTTGTGTATTTATTTGCCCTCTGCAATTTCTTCATTTGAGAAATGTGGCCAGGGATATAGCTCAGTGGCATAAGCACCTGCCTGGCAAGCACAAGGTCCTGAGTTTGATTCCCAGTACCAAAAAAAAAAAAAGAGAAATGTGTATTTATCTCAGATGCCTATTTTTGATTCGGTCTTTGAATTTGGAGGGGGGGTCTGATTTTTTTCCAATTTTTTTATATGTTCTAGATATAAGTCCTTTAAGGGACAAATGGTTATAATTTTTTGCACTCTTGTGGGTTGTCTTTTCACTCTATTGGCGATTTCTTTTGTTGTGCAAAAGCTTTTAAATAAGGTGGGATCCCATTTGTTGATTCTTTGTAGTAATTCCCTTGCAGTCTGGATTTTGTCATTTCTTTTTCTGTTTGCCAAGTTTTTTTTAGACTATCCATGCATCACTTTAGAGGCAGAATTAACAAATTATTGATGAAAAGTATAATGTATCGAAGCCACCTAGGTGACTTCAGAAAATGCTACCTACTTTGGTGGTCAAACTGGTGTCTTCTTGAAAATTCATTTCAAAGTATGTGAGTAATTATCCTCACAATCCACAAGATACATATGAAAATCATCACGTACTGAGATGACAGCACACATGACAAGCTGTATATTATAATGGAAAAGTAACTACTTTTTCCAAATCCTAGACCCAATACAAATCATTTCTGGTTTTGTTACCAAAGGCAGAGGTAGCTATTACTAAATTAAAACTTGTGTTCTGCATTTATTTCTTCTGACTTTGAGCCTTCCTCTTGCTTTTAATGTTTTGTTATTTTAAAATGTATGTACTTTCACCACTTATCTTAAAGGGGTAAAGAAATCTAGATTTGGTAGGAGAAAAAAAAATCACCCTTTTCCATAGAGGGGATCATCTCTATTACAAAAGAAGCTCATTAGCAGAATGGTACACAGTCTCTCTTACTTTCCAAAAAAAAACACACAACTATAAGAAAAAGCAAACAGAACAAAATAAAAACTTGGGCCCCTAAAGCTGCCAATACAGAAGAAGATCCCAGAAGAAACACAGATCCCAAATATAGCAGTCACCTCAAAACTCTATCTGGGGAGGAACTCAGTCAGACTAAGTTTGATGATTCTGGATAAAATGAAGTATAACCCATTTAATAAAAATTATTACTTACTAAAATTTATTATTTACTATTTTTTACAAATTTATTATTTACTAAATATTTCATTTATTTCTGTACTTGGGTAATATTTTAACAAGTCACTGTAAGGCTGGCCACGTAAAAAAACATGGAGGAAACAAATTTAATATAGCACCTGAAAAATCAAATAGGATAAAACCCACATTCTTCAAAACCTTATAATTTTGAATCTTTTTAAAGTATACATAATAGGTAGTAACCATCACAAATAAACACTGCACACTAACTGGCATCACACACTAAAACCAACACCGAAACAAAATTCTGAAATACTTGTCTTGATTACAGATACTGTACCTGCAGTCACTCACACCTGTCAAATCACTGTGCCATGAAGTAAAAGCAGAACGTTCTTTGCTGAGGTAGAGATTCACCTACATCACGTTAGTTGCAAGCCTAATTTATTTTTTCCCCTGTATTTACTGTCAGATAGAGCTAGTGAGCATATCATAAAATTGGAGGGAAATCAGAATTCTCCGTAAAACCAAAATAACACCAAATAATTCTAGAAAATAAGGAAAGCTGAGAACAAAGAAAATTTAAAGGTCTAACATACCTAAAGCCAACATACAAATTTTCTACACTGTTTCACCTTCTATCTAAGATCTTAAAATGTTCTTCTTGAACTGCAGAAAGAACTGAGACGTAATAATCCAACATGACATCTCTGCAAGTTGTAAACTAAATGTGACTCTGGTTCAAAGATTCATTAGACAGAGAGACAGCTTTAAAAAAGAAAAAAAAAAAGGTGTTTCTTTCCAAAATCCACTAAGAAGGTTCAAGAAATGCTAAG